GAGCCCCCTTGTTTGGGGGGCGCCTTCGAGGGCGCGAAGGTATTCGCGCTGCGCGGTTCGGCTCCGATGCCTCCTCATTCTCCTCTCCCTTGGGGGCGGGGGCGGCGCAGGAGGGCGAAGTTCTTCGCGCTTCGCGCATCGCGAGGGTGCGAAGTCAGGTGCCCTTGTGGACCGTGGAGAGAATTTCGACCGATGGCTGCCGTTTTCGTCAGGTGCGATAACAATCCTCGTTCCTGCAAGCTCCCGTCTACCTGAGGGGCCGTGCTGGATGGTCGTGGGCCGAGCAGACACGCGGGTACCCCAAAGGGGTCGGCGAACCAGCAAGCCCTACGTGGAGATGAAGGACTCGGCTGGCCGACCAGACGAGGTTGATGGGCCTGTCTTCCACCACCACCACCATAAGTTGGAGGGGGAAGGGGGTCCTCCACCTCCTCCTCCTCTTCGTCCTCCTCCTCTTCCTCCTTCCCCCTCCAACTTCTGGTGGTGGTGGTGGTGGAAAACGGGCCCATCAGAGGTGGTTGCCGAGGAGTTCTGGACCGTCCACTGTCGCCGCGAGTGCTCGGTCGTGACGGCGCTGTTCTCGGGGCTGTTCAGGTCTGTGCTGCGCTGCACGCGCTGCGGCCACACGAGCACGGTGTTCGAGCCCTTCACCTGCCTGCAGCTGCCGCTCCCAGAGCACAGGTACCGGTGGGTCACCTGCTACGTGTCGGGTGCTGCTAGAAGTGCCCCTGGCCCAATGTGCCCCCAGGATTTCCACGGAGGCCCCCACGGCGTCCAGAGCACCCCTTACGAGGCCCAGGGGTCCCCAGGGGCTCCAGGAGTAAGCGGAAAGCCGGGAGCACCTTGGGCCAGGGGCACTTTGAGCAACCCCCGAACGTGGTGCAGACTGCGGCGCAGCCCAGCATCGACCAGCACACGGTGAAGGTCTGCGCGCGGGTGCCCAAGCTGGGCAGCCTCCAGGATTTGCAGGCCGCGGTCGCCGGGATCTTGGGGCTGCCCGCCGAAGCGCTGGTGGCGGCGGACATGGCGCGGGGCTGCCACTACGTGTTCCGACTGTCAGCGGCCACGGAGCGCAACCCCAAAGAGATCCGACGCTTCAAAAAATTCGAGGGGGCGGTTGTGAGCGCAGTTTTCGGCCTCTGGGAGCCCTCGCTGGGCCTCGGGAGTTGCAACAGACTGCTCAGGACGAAAAGCCCGGTGGTCCGGGACCTCCAGGGCCCACGCATCGGAGAAATTTGAGCAGCCAGATGTTTGGGACCCGACGTGTCTGTCACGGACGAGTTGTCGGCCCCAATCCCCGAGTTGGCCCTGGGGAAGGTTGGTGATGCACCTCCAGGGGGCTATTCGGACGCACCCCTATCGAGGCTGGACGCCCCCCCATCGTATAGCTTCGAGGGCCAAGCCGACCTGCCTCTAGAAGACCAACATCTGGGGCCGGTGTCAAATACCGTTCTCACGTCCTGGCCAAAAGCGTCTATGGCCAAAAGCGTTCATGGGCACATTCTATACCATGACGTCCATAGACACTTTCGGGGTGAGTACGTCTATGGACAACGTGGCCGTTGCGCGGCGCGGCGCAAGGTCGGAGAAAGGGTAGATCCGTCTGCGGTATGTTCCTGTTCTAGAGCATGTCCCACATGGCACTCCAACGTATCTCCCAGAGCTGGGCCCAAACGAACCCCTCAAAGTCAGGGATTTGGGATCGCCATGCCCCTTGTTGGTCTGACGACCCTGACCCCGAAGCACCACGGCGGGGGGGGGGCAGACTTGCCAGAAAGGTGCCGCGACGCAGGGTGGGAAGGAGGAGGAGGAGGAAGAGGAGGAGGAGGAGGAGGAGGAGAAGGAGGAGGAGGAGGAGGGACGAGGGACGAGGGACGAGGGACGAGGGACGAGGACGAGGGACGAGGGACGAGGAGGAGGAGGAGGAGAGGAGGAGGAGGAGGGGAGGAGGAGGGAGGAGGGAGAGGATGAGGGAGGAGGGAGGAGGGAAGAGGAGGAGGAGGAGGACGAGGAGGAGGAGGAGGAGGAGGAGGAGGAGGAGGAGGAGGAGGAGGAGGAGGAGGGGGAGGAGGGAGGAGGAGGAGGAGGAGAGGAAGAGGGGAGAGGAGGAGGAGGAGGAGGAGGAGGAGGAGGAGGAGGAGGAGGAGGAGGAGGAGGGAGGAGGAGGAGGAGGAGGAGGAGGGGGAGGGGGGCCCGCGCTCGAGCGCCAGCCGAAATCTCATCCCCGCCCCAGTCTTCGGCGGCACTCCTGGGGGGGGGGGGAGTCAGAGGGGGCGTGCCCTCCCCCAGACGCCCTCCCCCAGTCGGAAGTCCCCAGACACCCTCGGGCAAAGAGAACATCATGTGGGCAGGTTTTTCCATACTTTCGGCCTCTGGAGGCCCTTACCGGACCTCGGGGCAGTCAAAAAACGACTCAGGATGAAAAGCCGGTCCAGGGGATTGGGTCGAGGCTTCTGAGGGTCGACGTTATGAAAAAATCATGACGCTGGGAGTTTGGGTCCCTCGGCCTTCTGAAGATTTTCCTGAGCCATCCCCGAAGACACAGGAGATCTCTCAGAAGGCCGGAGGCGCCTGTCCTGGCGCCCCGCCTTTTGAGGGATTCACCGCACATCAAAGCACCCCAACCCAACCCGAAGGCCGCAATTTGCACTCCATTTCCAGTCGGGGGAGGGTTCGGGGAACATTGAACAAGACACATAAGGAACCCGTACCACTACCAACCCGAAAGTCGGGTCTTCGGGTTGGGTTGGGGTGGTCTTGTAGGTAGTCAGGGATTCCTGCCAGTGCCGACGTCGGTGGTGCGGGGTGTCAGTTCGGGTAATCGACGAACCTCGCAGAATATTCACGGCACAAGCATATTTTTGCTGGAGGTGCGCGCAGGTTTCCAAAAGTTTACGTTTGTGCTGTGTTCTTCTTCATACCGTCTCGCTAGAGAGCGAAGGGACCACATAAGAGTCCCACAGAGGGGGGGCAGTGAGCCTGAGGACGCCTGGTCTGGCATCTATGTCGCCTGAGTCTTCCTCACAATTGAGCGATGAACGATAACGGGGTCGTCTGCGCCGACATTGGCGCGTAAGCTGCCCGCGTAAGGTCGCGCGTAAGCGCCCTCGTCTCCAACATGGTGTGCCGCGCTGGCGGCTCGCCCGAAGCCACCGCACAAGGTCGCTGTGCCGTCTCGCGCAAGACCCATTTTTCGAACGTCGCTCCTTTGACTCGGGAAGCCTGCCCTCGCCTCGATACCGGCTGCACGTTTGGTCCGGCCTCGATGCCGGCTGCACGTTTGGTCCGTATGGCCACATAGAGTTGCACCTGTGGCTGTGCTCTCACGTCTGTCCCCTACAGTTTTGTCGGGCCTGTCCCTCTACAGGGGGATTTTCGACGAAAAATGAAAGAGAGCCCAAACATGCTCCAAAATAGCAAAGAAATGGTTGGATTATTTTTGGAGCATTGTTGGGGTATTTTTTTCGTCGAAAATACCCCTGCAGGGGGACAGGCCCGACTTAACCCTGCAGCCGACCGCCAGATCCCCGACCCGTGGCTTCCCATTTTGCTGCTCTCGGGGATCCTCCGCTTGGGCAGCCAAGCCCTCCGAGATGGGGTCCGAGTGGATGTCGGAGGCCTCGAGGAGAAGCACAAAAACAAACACAAACAAAAACACAAACACACAAAACACACACAACTTGTAGGGGAAAACACACAAAAACACAAAACACAAGCAACACAAAAACACAAACACACACACAAACAAACACACAAGCAAACAAACAAACACACAAGCAAGGAAACAAACAAACACACAAACAAACAAACAAACAAACTAACTAACAAACAAACAACCAACCAACCAAACAAACACACACACAAACAAACCAACAAACCAACAAACAAACAAACAAACAAACAAACAAACAAACAAACAAACAAACAAGCAAGCAAGCAAGCAAACACACAAACAACACACACACAGAATACAACACCAATTTCGGCGGCGTACCTCCACCGAGGGAAGACGATACCGATCTCGGTGATGGTGGTAATATTCTGGCTTCCAAGGTGGCCGAAATATAACCACCAGCACCGAGATCTAGGATCATCTTTCCACTGTGGAGGCAACCCCCCGTGTTGGTGGTGGTGCCCATTTCCAGGCCTCCAAGGATGGGGTCGGAGGACCCCTCCGCGTCGCCGATGCATCGGCGATGCGGCTCGCTACGGAGCCCGACTGTCCACGCGCCGACGTCGCCGACGCATCGACGATGCGGCGCCGTTCTCCGACCCCACCCGCTCCGACCCCTCCTGGGAGGCCTCCGATCGGTCCTGGGCCCAGGGTCGGCGGTGCACTGCCTGCCCTCCTGTCATCGGGCGACGAAATCTATACATATCCACTGCTCCCTGACCATGCCCATCTTGAACCCAGGAGCTGTGTATGCGCCCTCCTGGCCAAGCCAGGAGGGCGTGGCGTATACACCGCTGCGGGGTTGAGGATGGGCCTGGCCAGGGAGCAGTGGATATGTATAGATTTCGTCGCCCTCCTGTCAGCCACGCGCAGAAGGGGGGGGTAGGGCGCGGGGGGAAGGCTTCCTAGAAGTACCCTGGCTTCCCAGGGGGCTTGGGCCTCATCTGTAGACGTGAGGCCGGCGCCTCCTGAGAAGCGGCCCCCTCCCAAGGCGCCGCCGCGAGGGCGCGAAACTTTTCGCGCGTCGCACGACGTCCCCCAAAGATCATCCCAAGACGGCCCGGATGGCCCCTCCAAGATGGTCCAGATGGCCTCCAAGATGCCTCCAAGAGGCCTCCAAGACGGCCAAGAGGACCTCCAAGACGGCTCGGATGGCCCCAATGATGCCTCCCAGACGGCCCAAGATGCACCCAAGGTGGCCTAAGGTGGCCTCAGGACGTCCAAGGAGGCCCCTCCAGGACCCCCTCGCCGCGCTCCGGGACGAGCCCACGCTCTTCTACGCCCCCGCGCAGCGGCCCCGCCCCGGGCCGGCGCCCGCCCAGAGCCGGGTCTGCCTCGTGCACCGCAGGGCCCGCAGGTCGGCGATCGGCGCTCGATCGACGCTCGACGTCCTCGAGGTCGCCGCCGTCCGTCGTCGCCGTCCGTCGTCGTCGCCGCCGCCGCCGCCGCCACCGTCGCCGTCGTCTGCAGGTGCCCCGAATGTCACAATGGAAGGCGTGGGGTGGGTCTGATTTGGAGGGGGGCTCCGAGTAGAGCCGTCTTGGAGGGTTCCCGAAGGGCCTGGCGGGGGGGTTTGAGGTTGCTCGTCTGGGGGGGGTGGGACCCCTCCCCTGCAGGATGAAATTCGGAGAGCACCTCCTGCTGCCCCGCCTCTCTGGGCGCCAGAGGCAGTATACAGTGGAGGACCATGCCAAAAGAACACCCTGCTCGCCTCCAGGGTGCCCTGGGTTTCTTGGGTTTCGATGGTTTTGCCATGGAAGGCGTGAATGACGCTCCCACACCCCAAATCGAGGGACGTACTGTGGTCTCAGGGTTGGGCGTCCTGTGGAAGGTTTCTTGTGGACTGGTCCGCTGTAGACTTAGGGCATGGAAAAGTAGCAGAGCCGAGCTCTGGAGGCCAGGCTCGTGTCCGTGCCGCCGCTCTAGCACCTTGCGCAGGGCGGGGCGTGAAGAGGGGCACGGACAGCATGTCGACCGCCTGATCCTTCTCCTCCTCCCCCTCTGCCCCTCCCCCTCCCCCTCCTCCTCATCCTCCTCCTCCTCCTCCTCTTTCCTCCTCTTCCTTCTCCTCCTGCTCCTCTTCCCCCCTCCTCCTCCGTCTCTTCCCTCCATTCCTCCTCCTTAATATATCATTTCTCCCTGTCGCACCCCGAAGCCAGTGTTTAGGGCGGTCCGGGCGTTTCGCCTGAGACTTCCTCACGACTTGTGATCCTGAAGCGGAAAATTCGGAAACAGTTTCACAGTTGGAGGGCGAGCCGTTTCAGCTCCGTTTCAGCTCCGCGCGCATGTTTTAAACTAATTCCAGGAGTTTCAAGGGTTGAGTGCGAGTCGTTTTCCAAATGTAGCTCTCGCCATAGCGCCGCGCACACTCGTCTTAAACTTTTGCATTCGCTTCACGGATTGAGGGCGGTTTCTTTTCAAAATGTGGCTCTCGCCGCCGCGCCACGCAAATTCGTTTTAAAAAGCTGAAAGAGCTTGACGGAGTGAGGGCGGTTCCTTTTCAACAAATGGTTCTCGCTCTAGCGTTGCGCGCAAAGTGCAAGGGTTGCATCGATTAAATGCAAGTCGTTTTCAAAATGTGGCTCTCGCATTAGTGCCGCGCATTTTCGTTTCTTAACGGATTGAGGGCTCTCGCCTCAGCGCCGCGCACATTCGTTTCAGAAAAGCGCAGGCATTTCACGGAGTCAGGGCGGCTCCTTGTCGTAATGTGGTTTTCACCTTAGCGCCGCGCATATTCGTTTCAAACAATTGCGAGAGTTTTACGGGTTCCGATGATCAACGTACCAGAAATTGCGTTTTAGAAGGATTCAGGATTATGAGGGTGCGCAAGTTATGTTGATTCGCAGTGTTCAAGACCAAGGAATGGCGTTCTGGCGTGATTCAGGATCGTCAAGACGCAACGGTCAGGTTGATCCGTGGCGTTGGAAACGCGAGAACAATGTTTTGGCATGATTCAGGGTCTTCAACACCGTTGTCTTCCAAAGAGGCAGTTCCCAAAAATGAATCGTTGTAGGGGCCTATGAAGAGGGAGCTTGGAGGGAGGGTTGATTTCAACATCGTTGATGCTTCTTGGGCTTACGCTGGTCCAACTCCTCCTCCTCCCTCCCTCCCTCCCTCCCTGGCAGGGCGGAGCGCTACTTCCTGGACCCGTACCACCTGGAACTGTTCGGCACCCCCGTCTCGGGTGCTGCTCAAGATGTGGCCAGGTCCCAAGGTGTCGCTGGCGTTTCGCGTGCCATCTGGGGGCCCCCGGGCGGCCTCTGGGCCTCGCGGGGGGCGCTGTGGAGGCTGTCGGAGCGACGCCAGGCGACGGGGCGACATCGCCGACACTCGCGCGCAGGCTGGCCGTGAAAGGTCGCGCGTAACTAAGCGCCCTCGTTCCCGATCTGGCGTGCCGCGCTGGCGGCCCGCTCAAGCCGCGGAGGAAGGTCGCGGAGTCATCGTGCGCAAACTCCTGGGACACCCGGGGCCAGGGACACCTCCTAGCAGCACCCGACCATGGTGGCCCGGATGCCCCGCGAGTGCACCGCGGCGGAGGCCTACGACGTGGCCTGGAGGCTCGTGTGCCACCTTGTCCCCGACCTCCACCTCTCGGAGGGCGTGGATGAAGAACACATGTGTATAGATAGGTGTATGTATATATATAGATTGATGTATGTATCTATTCACAAATATTTATATATATACATATATACAAGACTGCAGTGGCGCTTCGCGCCATGCACCTTGGTCCTTGAAGTTTGGAATGCAGGCGAGATGGCAGGAAGGTAAAGCCGACAATTTAGCGATAACTCCTAGTTGCCTTTTCCGGCATCGCCGCTATTATGATGTTATTCTTTCCTCCATGTTTATTGTTCCTCATGTTCGCCATGCCCTGCGCATTCTCCCCATCCTCCCCAGCTCTTTTTTGTGGAGGCTCTTCCTTGGAGAGCCTCTAGGGGCCTCACAAAAGTTGTTTCGGGCTTTCTTAAGGCCTTCTGGAGGCCTCCTGGGCGTATTCTGGGGGCCTCCGGGGGCTTCCTCGGGCCACCGTGCCTCCAACCGCCGTCTCCCTGAACGACCGAATCACGTTTTGGAATTCTTCGGAGGGTGTCTTTGGGCCATCTTGGGCCGCCATGGGGCTCTCTGAGGGCCATCTGATGGACCCGTGTTGTGCCGTTTTGGGGCTCTCTTGGACTGCTTGGAAGCCCTTTCGGATGGTTGTTGGGCGATTTGGGAGCCTCCCAGGCGGCTTCGGACGCCCGGAATACCGCCGTCTTGGCGCGTCGCGAAGCCGAAAAGAGGAGAATCCCAAAATTCGCCAACAACCAACAGAAAATCCATGATTTTTGCCTCGGGGGGCCTTCTTGGGAGTGCTCTTGGAGGCCTCTTTGGGGTCGTCCTGGAGGCCTCTTGGGCCATCTTGAGGTCACGTCGGTCACTCTTGGAGCGCTCTTGTGCTGTCTTGGGTGTCTCTGGGACGTCTCCGATGACCCCCCTGATCGCCCTAAGTGTGCTGAGGAGGCTTGGCAAAACGCCTTGCGAGGCCCGGTGGCCGCTTCGAGGCCCGTCCGGAGGGCCCCAAAGCCCCAGGTCCCGGGAGTCCGTTTTTTGGGGGGGGAGGGGGACGGGTTTTCCCCCCGCCCGGGCTTATAAACATATAGGAAGAGGAATGTATATATATATATATATATATATATATATATATATATATATATATATATGTACATATATACATATGTATATATATATATATATATATATATGTATCCGTGCCCGCGCCCTCGCGGTCTGGGCCCCTGGCCCGCGACCTCCGCTGATACGGGGCGCGTGCTCGCGCATGCCCCGTGCGGAGCCTATCGGTGCGACCGCGTATCCGCGGGATCGCGCTCTGGAATCCAGACCGCGATGGCTCAGAAACGCCGCTCGCGAGGAGAAGCGCTACCCGTTCCAGCTGAAGAGCGTGAAGAGGCACCCGAGGAATAGGAAGACGGCATGAACATCGTTTCTTTCAGGTCCGCGCGGGTTTCTCGGATCCGCGTTGGGCCCCCCATGGCGGCGCCTCTGGCACCGCTCCGCGCGCCCAGCTGAGGAGGAGGAGGAGGAGGAGGAGGAGGAGAGGGAGGAGGAGGAGGAGGAGGAGGAGGAGGAGGAGGAGGAGGAGGTAGGCATCCAAAGATCCAATTGGACGCCGCGCGCCGTGCCTTGCCACGTCCTCCTCCCCTTCCTCTCCTAGGCGCAGGCTGGCCCACCGACTGCCAGGGAGGGCGGCCCAGGGCAGATCCAAGAAATCTGCGAGGTGCTCGCAGAAAGTATGTTTATGCCGTTCCTGGCTCCTCCACGGATCGGCGGCGAGCCCTGGGGGAGGAGGAGGAGGAGGAGGGGGAGGAGGGGGAGGAGGGGGAGGAGGAGGGGGAGGAGGGGAAGGAGGGGGAGGAGGGGGAGGAAGAGGAGGAGGAGGAGGAGAAGGAGGAGGAGGAGGAGGAGGGCTTTCTCAGAAGGCGGGGAAGTCCCACGGGCCTTCTGAGAGGTGTTCCGATAAGCCTTCCCGGAACACGCATGAGACTTCTCAGCAGGCGCAAGGGCTTTTGAGAAGACCCGCCGCCTTCTGACGTCGCGACAAGAATCATACAGCATGGCGAAAGGTTGCGACCCCAGTCCCAGACCCCAGTCTGCTGCGCCCTTTCCGAGCCAGACCGATCTGTGAGAGGCCTGGGGCCCGCAGCCAGGCAAACATGCCCGTTGGTCAACAATCGAAGGCCTTCTCCCTCCCACTTCCCCCCGACGTTATGATTTTTTCATAACGTCGACCCTCAGAGGTCTCGACCCATTCCCCTGGACTGGTTTGTTTGACACTCAGAGGTTTCGTTTCTTGAGGGTCCCGAGGCCCAGCAAGGGCCTCCCGAGGCCGAAAATAGTGGAAAACCTCCCGTCATGTTTTTTTCATTGCCCGACGGGGTTTGGGTCTCCCTTCCCCCCCTCGCTCGCCGCCGACTCCAGGCACGGCACCGTGTGCGCCCGTTGCACATGGCGGCGGGGCTGCCAGGGCTGCCTCGTGAGCCTCTCCTCCCAGGATGATGGGTCAGCTTTCCACCACCACTACCATGGATGAAAAGGTCCTCCTCCTCCTCCGCCTCCTCCTCCTCCTTTTCCTTATCCTTCTCCTCCTCCTCCTCCTCCTCCTCCTCCTCCTCCTCCTCCTCCTCCTCCTCCTCCTCCTCTCTCTCCTTCCTGTGGTAGCGGTGGTGGAAAATGGGCCCATCACAGGAGCCGCTGCTGCTCCTCGAGGGGGACACGCTCGCCCTTGACTGGGACGCGCTGGTGCTGCAGCAGCAGTACAAGCACAAGGTCGCGGGCGGAGTTTCCTTTTTGAGAGATGCGGACGTCAGCCTCCGCCTCCTCCTCCTCCTCCTCCTCCTTCTCCTCCTCCACCTCCCCTCAAGCCACAGCGGCTTGAGGTGAAGGCCCAGTCGGGGCTTGCGGCGTTGTCTAGGGCACACCTTCTCTGACACCCCGCCTCACGCCAGTCTCTGGTGCCTGCACGGGGCGCTTGAGGCATACCGTTAACATTCCCTTTTGAGTGATTCGGTAACCAAGGCCAGAGATTCATGTCACATTATTCGTCTTCGCAGCGGTTAAGGAGCCGCTGTTCAGTCTACCAGCGGTGCGACTGGAACGATCGTTTCTAAGAGCGTGGCGGCTTGTGTCTATGCGATGAACGGATTCGCATGTACCGTGCTCCCGTAGGCAAAAAAGATTCGTTCGATGACCGCACATCGTCGGATCGGGGCCGCTCATCATCCCCAGCCCCCTGGAGGGCCGCTTCCGCGGGCTCCCAGCAGAGCCCCAGCACTGTTGTCGATCATTTTCGGGCGGCGCTGGCAGCCAGCTCCGACCCCAAGGTGAAGGAGGCGCTTCAGCAGCAGTTGGACCAGCTAGCGGCCAGCACGGCCAAGCCCGCGACGGCTCCCCCTTCGGAGGCAGCCGCGGTCTCGCGCGCAGAGGGCATCTGGCGAGACTGCAATCACAAGCGCGACTAGGCGGTGGCCAACGTGCAGCGGCTGCGCTTCTCCTTCCAGACCGCGGTCGAGAAGGAGCAAACAGCCGCTCTGGCCCTCGCCGAGGCCGAGATAGGCAAACAGCTGGCGGTTCAGGCTCTGGCGCGGGCGGCAGGCATCAACCCGTCCGACGCGCCAACAGCCGAGGGGCCGACCCTTGCTTCATCGTGTCGTGGGGCACGAACCTCTTCGACGATCTGGAGCAGGTCGAGGTCGAGGATGCCGAGAAGCAGCAGTTCCGTGTCATCGAGGCGGAGCTCGAGAAGGTGCAGGCCATGTTCAACGCCAAGAACACGGAGGTCCAGGCGTGGCCCGACAAGGCATCCAAGGTCAAGCAGGACATCGCCGCGCGCCTGGCCAGCAAGAAGAGGCGCACCGAGGACGGGGCTGCTGCAGGAGGCGGAGGTGGCGACAGCACAGGCACGGCAGCCGAGGCCGCGCCCCCAGCCTGCGGCGCTGCACCGGCCAGCGCTTCGGAGGCCGCCCAGCAGGACGCAGCCCCACCCTCGGAGGAGGAGCAGGCTGCCCACAAGAAGCGGGTCGCCGAGGAGGTAGCCCGCCTCTCAGCAGCGAAGTTCCAGGCGGCCGCCAAAGGGGCAGCGCAGGTCAAGGGCAGCAAGGGCGGCAAGCCCTCGGCTTGAGGGTTTGCGCCTGGTGCGGCGCCGACCGCATTGGCGGGCGCGGCGCACGGCCAGGCGCCAGTTTTGTCAGAGCCCTTGCCAGAGGACCAGGACGCCTTTTCGAATAAGGTTTCTTCAGCAACATCACAGCCATGAGTGGCAAATCGCGGGGTCATCCCACCGAGCATGCACTAGAGCATGGGCTATTGGGGGGTTGTCGAGGCTCGCGTGCCTGAGTCGCAGATACAACAATGGGATTCTCGTGCTCGCAGCCCCGCACTTCGCCCATTTCCCAACCCTGCCAGGCGCTCAGGGAAGCACCGCTCCACCGATTTGCAACATCGGGCCAGCGAGGGCGGCGAGCGGCTGCTATCTCGCGGTCACTTCCAAGCGACCAGATTGGAGGAGGCGCTCACGACCACGGCGCTCGGCGCGCCAGGGTCGCCCATGTTAGAGTGCACTGCGAGAGCTTCCCCATCATCCTCTTCGTCGTTTACGGCTTCACTTCCAGCGGCGCCAGCGGCCGCAACCTTGCCAGGTATCATCGGTTGGGAGGGCGACTCGCGAGTCTGAAGCTTCCGTGGACCTGCGTGGGCGACTGGAGCGGTGCCCAGCATTCTTCTCAAGCCAGGGTTCGCTGACCAGGTCTTCGGCAGGGTCATCGCCCCAGGGGGCGTCACCGCCACGCGCGATGCCGACCTGCAGGGGGGCATGCTGGACTACGCCGCGGTGAGCGAGGCTGCTGTTCCGTGCATCATCGCGCAGCGGTCAGTGATCAACGTGCCATGGCGTCCTCACAGCGGGCTCTCGCTGGAGGGGCGAGGCAGCGGGAGCGAGCTGGTGACTTGGCGACTGCTCTGCGCTAGCCGTCATCCACAGCTGCCCAGGCCTTCCAGTTCACCTCAGCCTGGCCCGAAGAGATCTCGAGGCACGGCTGACGCGCAGCAACGTCGCGCACCCGCAGCCGCCAATCGCCAGCAAAATATGTTGTCCATCCATGTTCGGCGATCACTTGCACCAGACGCCTTCAGCTCAACCGCGCGAGCAGGAGACGGCATTCCATGTTCCTGTTCTCGAGGAATTCGAAGGTCACTTCCCGTCCGAAGACGAGTGAGACTCTTGGGCTGGCGAATCCAACTTTAGGCCGCAATGATCGCGGCAAACTGCGCAGCCTGTCGTCAACTTCGGTCGCACCAGCATGGTTGAGCATGTGCATGTTTCCTTTCGCCACGGTGCAGATGAAGGTTTGCAGTCCGGCAGTAGATCTAATATTGTCTTTGGAGGGCCCCCCGCCCCCCAGGGGAAGAGTGTGCCCCGCCATTTGTCTCCCCTCTCAAGGAAGGCCCTTCGGTCCATGTCGAGCCGTCTTTCATGTCCCCAGCGAGTTCCGGGCCAAGTTCCGCGGGCAAAGTCAAGGGCTCGTTGGATGACCACCTCCGCCCCATTTCACGTCGCCCGTAGGGTTTCGGCTCAATCCCCAGCGCGTGGGACCCGTCAGCACTTGGTTCGTTCAGTGGGTCAGCACGTGGTGCAGGCACATCATCGGCAGCCGAGTTCGGGGGGTCCGAGCCGCGCCGGCGGTTGCAGCTTCTCACAGGAGCTTGTCCATCACAGCGGAAACTTCCTTCCGTGGCCGAGATTCTGGCTTGTGGGAGCACGCGCGTTCCGACTTAACGCAGCTTAGCCGGCGCCGCAGGAGGGCCAACGAAGAGAAACAATTGCGTGAGTTACATCCAGCGTGTCAGCCCCTGGCCTGGGACTGCCCGGTCGGCGAGCCGACCTCGCAGGAGCGGCGCAACCTCCCTCTCAACGTGGCGCGCTTCACACTGCAGGTCTTGGAGGGATTTCAGGTGCTAGCTCAACGTTTGGAACGCAGAGCCTCCCGCCGGGCGCTGCGTGGGTCCTTGCATCAGGTCAAAGATTGGATTTCAGATCAGAGTTCTCTGGGGGCCGTGCGCATGTCTTCACAAAGCGACCCCTTGCCTCAGCAGGACTCGCGCGCGGCGCCTGGAATTCTCACGCATCCCAAGGAGATTCTGGATCACAAAAGGAAGGCTTGGAGCACCATCGGGGGGCCTCGCGCCTGCAATTTTGCAACCCTCCGCGCGGTGTGTCAGGAGGTCTCCATTGCAGCGCGCGACGAGCCCATGGGGCCACTCAAGGTTTCCATATCAGAGCAGCAGTTCGACGCATGAGAGGTCGCGCCGGGCTGGTTGCTTACCGGTCGATCCCAACCGACTTCGAGCGCCTCCCTGAGGCTGGACATGACGAACTTGCAGCGTTTGTCAGTTCTTGCGGGGCCATGTTGACTTGGCCACATCAGACCCAGCTCATTGCCGGGGAGCTCTTGCCCAAGAAGAGCGAGGGCGGTCGCGTGATCGGGCTCGCATCTCTACTCTGCCGCGCGCGTTCGCTCGTCAGGGAGGGCGATGTCAAACCGTGGGCGGCTGCCGACGAGCAGCAGCGGGACGCTGCGGTGCTCGGCAGCGCCGCCCTGCAGGAGGCATACTTCCTCACTTTGGGTGGCGAAGTTGCAGCTGCGGTTCGCGTCGGGGCGGCACGCGGCATGCTGGACATCAAAAGGTTTTCACGCCTGCATCGAGTGGGACCTTCTCATCGCGGCAGCGCTGCGCCTGGGACATCCCCTGGTGGTGCTGCACGTGGAGATGGCACAATGTTTCGCCCCGCGTACCTTGGCGCAGTTTGGCGCAGTCTGCACCCCGTCCCAGGTGCAGCGGTCCATCATGCAAGGGCTTCGTGGGGGCACAAGGTTCTCGAAGTGTCTCGCTCATTTCATATTGGCCGCCATCGTCCACAAACGCAGCCGCATTCATCATCGCATCTGGGTGTGCGACTTGCCGCAGCGCGTGACAGGCCGAGTGAGGTGCTCAGGGCCAACGTGATTGTTTGCCTCGCTGACACGCGCAATGAACTTGCTAAGTGGAAGCTGGACGCACCACCGAACTCGGTCATCGCATGCACCGTGCATGGCGATGTCAAGGCCATTGCTGCGCAGCTGAGGCTATGGGGTCTCTCGGTCAAGGCCGCGCTACAGGCGCCCATCCTTGGGATCGACCCTGGCAGCCGGACACGAGTAGGACGGCGGACGAGTAGCACGGTCAGCAGTTGCTTACTTTCTGGAACGGAATTGGGGACCGAGGTCTCCTGTGCATTGGATCGTGCCGAACGGGGTCGAGTCGCAGTTCCCTGAGTCGGATATTCACACATCATGGCCCTCAATTGCACTTGTGGTTTCGCGCGTGACTTCGACCAGGCTTCGGCGGCCCTATTGCGGGAGAAGGCTGCTCTGCATTTCAAAGGGTCAGGGCTGGAGAAAGGTGTCGACGCGGAATCTCTCAGAGCACTATTGCGACATATAGTTGGGGCCAAATACGGCGGCCGCCTGTCGGAGCTCTTGCTTACAATGGCGGCAGGCGGCAGCTGGCCTCGCAGTCGGCGCGCGCAGGCCGCGACCATGGTCCGCATCGGCCCGATGTGCCCACGGTGCCGAGTGCAGGGCGAGACTGCGCTGCATCGATTCTGGACCTGCCCCGCCAACGCTGGGCGCCCGATCTACCAGAACTCTTACTGTCTCTGGGGCCAGGCGGCATCGCGGCACGAGGCCGAGGAAGGGCTCTGGCTGCGAGGCATGTTGTCCAGTTGCGCAACG